AAAATAACAAATCAAGATGGAATGTTGGTTTACGGACATTATCGTTAAATTCTTTTTTTCAAATGTATTTTTTATTTTATGATATATATATTTGCTTATGTAATAGTTTATAGTCTGAAAATTCTATATATTTATTTTGCATTTATTTTCAATTGTTAGACTAATTTTTTATAACAAAAGTGTTGTTATATTAAACTTAGTGTACTACAATGAATCTACATAATAGCAAGAAAAAGTACAAAAATCCTGATTGAAGCAATGTTAAAAGTCAACATTCATTGCTAATTATATATAAGTTTCTTTTTTAGCTGCTTACTAATTATATATAAGTTGTAACCATATTTTCGGTGCTGAAATTTATATTATTAACATGATTATGGTTGAAATATAAACAATGTTGTCTACGGAAATCATCATTAGATTCATTTTTAATATATTTTCTTATTATATGATACACATAATTATTTATGTAATAATCTATATTTTGATTTTCTTATATATTTACGTAGCATTTTTGATTTTTCTTAAAACAAAAAGTGATGTAATAAACTTTATGTACTAGGTGATTTGTGTTTTTCCTTCTGTGTTCGATGCTTTTTGCCAGTATCGTGAGAGAGTTGTAAAGTGATAGTTTTTATGATGGATATGAAGTCTAGATGATGTTTTGGAATTTCTGGTTATAAAACGATGCATTGTTTTTTTGCCATATAGTGTTTTATGAGATATTGTGATTCTTTTATTTGGTAATCTATAGTTTGATTTAAATGTTTTATATCTAGTCAATTTTGGCTATCTATCTGATTTAAGTAGTTTTGTAGTACAATGTTGTTCAATGGTGGTTTCACCGAAGCTAACTTAAGAGCAAATTGACATGACAATAAAAAAAGAAGACATGTATCTAAATTAAGAGAACTGTTGTCGTATTCGCAAAAAGTATTAGAAGTTCGACTGGTATTGTAAATTCGGGAATACTTAATCGTCTATTTTAGATTCGAAACAAAATCATTTTGGTATCGTTAATGTGTGATCAAAGCTGCTTATCCTCACTTAATTTATGGTAAAAAAACCATTAA